TGCCTCACAGGGTTGTTGCAAGGATTCAATAAGTTGATGCATGCAGAGTGCCCGGCGCACAGCCTGGCATGTTGGCAAGTCAGGCAGTCTTAAGCACGCAAGTCGTCATTCGCCAGAAGTGTGTCCACCACGTGGACCCTTGCTCTGACTGGCAGATCAGAACCCTCATCCCTTTGGCAGAAGGGTTGAAGAGTGTTGAGAAGAAGGGCCAGTGCAACCACAGAATGGGGGCTGGGACAGCTGGGTGAGTGGTCATCTGTCCCCACCATAGGGTCCTCCCATCTCTTCCACAGGGAGCCCCTGTGTCTGGGGACCACCTCCCCCATCCCCGGCCTCCAGGAGGGGTAACTGCAGTTGTAAGTGGCTCCAGCCTGAGGCTCTCGTGTCCTTCCTCCTCTGGTCTGAAACCCACACTGCCTGCAGCCTGCAGGAGGGGAATGTGCCCTTCAGACATGGTCCTTCATGCAGATCCTGAGGCTTAATGCTCAGACCACCACAGGCATCAAACACACCCCCACTTCGAGAGGGACAACCCGCTTCGATGCATTTAGAGATAAGCTCTCACCAGGTTTTCTGATCCACATATGATCTGACACTACTCGTCAATTCTCTTGAAAGAGTGCCAAGGTTGTAATGTTTTAAACACGCTTTGTGTCTTGCAATATATTTAAAGTAGATCAGTGTCATAAATTTGGATCAAATAGGTACCACATGGGTGCACAACAATACTCGCAGTGTCTAGGCAGGAGGGCTGCCCCCGAGTGGGGTGGGGGCCGCATAGGGGCCGCTGGCGATGCTGGGCTTTGATCTCAAGGAACCAGTAGAGATGCCTGCCTTGCTGGCCTGGCTGGCCTTTGAGAGGATACCAGGCACAGCCCAGTGGGCAGGGGTGATGGGGGACAGAACTAACCATCAGCAAGCTGCCCAGGCTGGGAGTCAAATTCCACCCCGTGCCGTCGGAAAGGACTGCCGGCATGCGCGTCAAGTCTCTGGGACACAGGAAGGGAAGCTCGTGCGGAGGGTCCCTCAGTTACCCCATGGGTCCCGCTCGCACCTGACCTCGAGAGCAGCCACTTGGCTCTCTGTCTCAGCTCAGTGTCCCCACCTGCTGGCACCCGTTCCTCCCAGGGTGGTGGGGTGGGAACAAACTCATCTTCCCAGCATGTGTGACTAAGTCACCCTCCGTGTTAGTGCCTCCTCCCTGTGCCTTATTCCACGCAGAGAGCGGAGCAGGGAGCAGAGAGAGAGAGAGGACTGACAGCAAAAGGAGAGATGTTGGGGATAACCCTCCACATCCCAAAGAAACCGCAGAGGAGGGAGGTGTGTGCACAGTTAGCTTAGCCTGGGGTGAGACCCCCTGAGCAGACCCCCTGAGCAGACATTCACTTCTGCACCAGGGTGCAAAGATGGGCTGGCTACTACACTTGGACTTACGAGACTTTGCTGTTAATTCCAGCGTGGACATTCACCAGCTGTGCAACCTTGGGCAAAGTATTAACCTCTCTGAGCTTCTCATTTGTACAATCAGGAAATGAGCACTAACCACTGAGCCACGGTAAGGCCCGAGTAAGACAGGGAGCAAATGAACCTTGGCTGAGCTAGAGATGTGAAGTATTGCTGCACTTGTCTTTGGCATCCAAGACAAAAAAATCTCTTCATCTCAGGGGAGAAGCAAACTGCTGCCTGAGCATGTGATCACCAGGGTCAAGATAGCCACTGTCCCACTGGGGCTGGAGCAGTGGGACAGACACTAGAGCCTCTCAAGGAATGACCTCAAGTCCTTGGGCAGGCCTTCTGCTGCTGGTCTCAGTTCCTGCTCTCTTCCCCCTGGCCTCTGGTGGGCTAGGGGGCAGTGGTGAGTTGGCGGCAGGACAAGGGTACTGGCAGAGGCCAGCTGCGGGCGGGCTGGCTTTGAAGGCTGGTGGCTCCATGGCACCCACTGAAAAGATGCAAGGACAGGCTGGGAGGAGCAGAGGGAGTGTGAGCCTTCCAGGGACCAGAGAGGGAGTGAGGGGGAGCCACAGCCTCACACCCCTGAGCAGTCCCCCAGAAGAGGCCATCATGGGCGAGCAGGGAGGGCTGGTCTGAGAGAGAAAGCAGGGATGGGGCAAGAGTCCAGCATGAAGGGGGAGGAAGGACCTTCTCCTGGGTGCTCGTGAGACCTGGCTGCGGGGGTGCTTCCAACAAGCCCTGGGTGTGGACGGAGAAAAGACTTGAACAGAGGCTCAAGGGGACCAAGGCCCCTCGCGAGGCTGGGGCTGCTCCTCTCTAGGGGATACGAAGCCAAATCTGTCCTCAGAAAGCCGTGGCCTCCCTGGGCTGAAAGGGACTTTAATCCAGTCTCCGACCTGATATAGAGGCTTCTCTTAGCACTTCCCAGACCAATCGTTATCCAGCCTCTACTGAACACCTCCCAAGACACCTAGGTACGAGGAAGCTCCCTCTTATTGTTCTGGAATTGTTCTTCCTGTAAGGTTAACCCACCAGCACTTGCTCTCCCTCACTAGTCATGCAAAAGAATGATCCCCTCTTCCATGCTGGAGCCTGCCCTGTCCTGGGCAAACTGTGACATCCCAGGGACAGCAGCTGCCCGCCCACAGCAGGGCTACACTGCTTTGCTCTGCAAATTCAATGCAGCCAGGGTTAAATGATTCTTCCTACAGTCTGAGTCTAGGATGGCCACTGTCATGCAACCGGGCACTCTAGCATCATGACACCCAGCCCTAAGTGGAGGACGCTCCATCCCGAGGACAACAGACCCCAAGCTCCTTTCTGGATGGCAGACTTCCAGTTTGCAGTGGAATGAGGGTGCCTGTCATGATCCGATGCCAGCTGAGGGCATCGCCGTGACACCCAGGGACGCTCTGCCGGCCCCGCAGCCCCTTCACAGCTTGAAAGAGCTGGTCTGGCTGCTAATGGGAAAACCAACTCCATGTTGCACCAGGAGGCAGTAAGTTTTATGAGTCTGCGTGAGTGGATGGAGGCAACCGCGGGGGCTGATTTCCACTTCCTGACACCATAAGAACTTCTCAGTTTATGCGGAACTAATTAAAGATCTCTCAGGTCCTGCCATTTCATCCTCCAGGCACTCATAAAGCAACGTGGTGATAGCAGCCACCAAGTGCAGCGTGTGAGGAATGTGCTTCTGCAGGCTGATTCTTCTCTTTAGAACGTTCTTTCCCCACCCTGGTGCCTTTCCTTCCTGCCTCTTTTCTCCTCCTGGAAGACCCCAGAGGCTTCCCAACCTGGTTTGGAGGGCAGGGATGGGCTCCTCACAGCAGGTGGTACCATGGGAACACCTGGACTTGGACTCCTGCTCCGCCACCTACAAGCCATGAGACTTTGGGCAAGCTTCAGTGCTATGGTTTGAACGTGTCCCCCAGAGTTCATGTGTTGGTACCTTAATCCCCAGTGCAACAGTGTTGAGAGGTGGGACCTTTAAGAGGTGATTAGGTTCTGAGGGCTCCGCTCTCAGAACTGGATTAACGCTTTATTGTGAAAGTGGGTTAGTTACGGTAGAAGTGGGTTCCTTACTGAGAGAGTAGATTTGTTATAAAAGCGAGCTCGGCCCCTTCCATCTGTTGCTCTCTCGACCTCTCTCACCCTTCTGCCTTCCCCATGGGATGACAGCAAGAAGGCCCTCGCCAGATGCTGGCTCCTTGACCTTGGGCTTCCCAGCCTCCAGCACTGCAAGAAATGAATTTCTTTTCTTTGTAAGTTACCCCGTCTGTGGTATTCTGTTATAACAACACAAAATACACGAAGACACTTAGTTTCCTCATTTGTTAAATAGGAGAATAGTCACACCAGCCTCACAGGGTGGTTTTAGGGTTAGAACTAACATAGCTTGCATTGAAAGAAAGTGCCTGGCCTATAGTAGGTGTTCAGCAAGTAGTGACTGTCATAAAATTATTATGGTTATTGCAATGATCACTTCTGGGCCTTTGCTCAAATTGTTTCCCTCTCTAAAATATCATTTACCTTCAGGTTTTCTGGTGGAAGGACCACAATGGTGGATTAAAAATGGCCAAGAAATGGAGACCAGGACTCCACTCATACTGACTCACATGACTTGGCCATGTGACTTGCACCAACCAATAGGACATTAGACAATATGATGTAAGCAGACGCTGGAAATGTACTTACGCACTGGGACCTGCCCATCTGAATGCCTGCTGTGCTGTAAGGAAGCCTGTCCAGCCTACTGGAGGATGAGAAGCAATGTGGAGGACTGAAGCCCCCAGCCTCCAGCCACCACCAACCACCAGACACGTGAATGAGGCCATCTCAGCCCCTCCCGCCCTTCCATCTATCATCTGATGCGACTCCATGCGTGAGCCCAGGTGAGACCAGCAGAGCTCCCAGATCACCAATCCACAGAATCATGAGAAATGAACCATCCGCTTTAAGCCAGTAAGTTTGGGATGGTTTGTTACATGGCAATACATAACCCATATGTCCATCCATTCATCAAGGTTCGGTTCATAAGCTGTCTTCTCCCAGCAGACTTGCCAAACTCCTCCCAACCTGGAATTCCTCTCTCCACCTTCTGTGCATGATTGCACTGCACCTCGTGATGGTGGCATTTAATAAAGCCTGCCTTCACTGGGGTTATTTATGCAGCAGCAATGCTTCTGTCTCTCTGAACTGTGAGCCGCCAGAGAGCAGAGCTGGACCCCTCCGCGTCCCCATACTTGCTCAACACAGAACTCCCACTTATCAAGCCTCAAGGGGCCAATGAGAACCTGGCCTGCCCCAGTACAGACACAGCCACCCAGCCTGGCAGTGGCAGCGAGAGAGCCTCTTGGGTCTGAGGTCCTGCTGGGCCACTGATTTGCCTGAGGCCCCGTGCCCTCTGTTTCTCCTCCTCCTGCAGGTGGAGGCTCTGCTGGGTGGTGTGTGTGCAAATGTGCATTATGTGTGACCAAGTCCTGACCCTGTGTGCGCTTGTGAGGCCCCACTTGAGTTACCACTGGCGGGGTCTTCCCCCTTCATCTTACCTTCCGGCCATGGTAGCCCTGGATCCCTGGGTCTCCCTGGGAAAACAAAGAGAATGCCATTAAAGAGATTTTCCCAAAGTCAAACTTTGATCTGTGCTGTTCCCCACACAATGCCATCCCTCCTCCTCCCAATGACGCCAGATCCTCCTGCCCCTTCAACACACACCTCCAGCTGTCCTGGGGACAGCAGCTCTCTGCTTCCTCTGAGACCAACAGAGATTGCTCTACTCTTCAGAACGAGCCCCACTTTGCAGAGGCTGAGGAACTGTGGGAAGGGTCAACTGAGTAGGGACCTGGGAGACCCAAGGGTCAGTTTTTGTTCCAGCAATGACTCTGTTGAACCTGGGCAAGACACTTTCCCCAGGGCCCTCAGCTTCAATTTATAAAACCATTGGGCACAATCAATACTGGGCCCCTTCTCATCCCCAGAGCCCCAGGGTCCCCGGCTTCGAAGGCAGAGTCTGTTTGACATTGTGGGTATTCTGTGTGAGGATTGACAGGAGACTGGATGACCCTGGAGGTCTCTTCCTGTCCTGACACCTTACAAAACACTATTTTATTGAGATACTGTGACGCTGTTCTGGGCATCTGCCTAGAGTTTCCAACTAGATTATAAGGTCCTTGGAGGGCGGGACTGTGCCTTCTATACCAGCCAGAGGACTTGCTCTGCCAGCCTGAGCTCACAAGAAGGGCGATCCTAGTTGGAACGATCCCAGTTCCTAAGAGGAAGGTGTGTTTTAGAAATGAGCGATGCTTGACCCATCTCCCGGCTGAGATCTCACTGGCTCCTTCCTCAGTAGCCTTCAGCGCTCTCCACCCCCTGTAGGGAACTCGCCCACCTATTCAGTGCATCACCCAGAAGCCACTTACCTTTGGTCCAGGAGGCCCAGGTAAGCCCTGTGGAAGCAAGAAAAAGGTGAGTGGAGATGGTTTCCACTGGTAAATGGTTGAGGCTAGCCATACTTACAGTGGAGGCTGGGGGCAGGGCAGCCCCCAAACAGCTACAGTAAGAGAACGGGCATGCTAGAGGACTGCTCTAGAGGATCTCAGAAGGGGATGTGAAACCTGCTGAGGGCACGTGGGGACAACAGGCTCATGTCCCTCCTTGCAGTCATGTGGGCGCCATGGGCAATTCCGCTGTGCTCGCCCACTGGAAAGTAGGTCAGCGGCATCACGCTAAATTGCCAGTGTGGTTTGGTCCAGATCCTCACTCACCCACCTCCTAACTGGGACCCCTCCCTAGAAAGCCAACCTTGCCCAGCAGAGCCTTGGCTTTGCCCTTGGCCCTGCCTGCCTGCGGAGGAGCCCTCTGTCTCCTTCTTCCCAGGATGCTGAGGCCACGGCAGCTGGCCGTGGTGAGGTGGTGTGGGCCGCAGGGCCTGCAGGAACCCAGGGCAGAGGCCAGGCAAGGCTGGCTCCACCGCAGTCCCCGGCACAGGTCTGGACAGCAAGCGTGGGATGGAGAAAGCCGTGATGCCTGGGTCTGGGTTGTTTCAGTTGGTTTTAAAAATACATTTTCTGTTTTTATTTTGCTTTGTTATAAACAACCTGAAAAAGAAAACTGCCTGGCTTGGGTTCAGTGAGGGACAGCTCAGTGTGATGGGAAGAGGAGAGAGGACAGCGGTCAGCAAAGAAGTGAATTTTGAGCACTTTTTGGTTTTCTTGGCTGGGTTTGGTCCAATTTCCTAAATTTTACTTCCTTTCAGGTTTTTCCATCTAAAAACTAATGGAAATAAGACTAATCTCCCTCTCTGGGGTGCTGGGGGGAAATTACGGAAATATTTAAAATCCGCTGCAGTGGTCAAGCAGGCAGGAGAGCCGGCTCCCAGCAACTTGGGTTTTCCCACTACTGTGCTGGCCTTTCCGCCAAGTGGGGTGCCCTGTGTGGCCGGAACTGTCACCTAGCCTAGAGAGACCCCATGAGGAATCTCAAGGTTGGCAGCTGGGCAGCCAAGGGGCCCAGGTGTGAAACCAGGTGATCTTGAATGTGGCCATTAAATTGAGGGCTAATTGTTGGGGACATGCCTGACCCCGCTGTCCCACCTCTGGGACTCCACCCCAGTGAAGCTATCAGAGATGTACACGAACACTGTGTTTCTTTGTCTACGTTCCAAATCTTTCACAATGAATATATGATGCTTTTGCCATAAGAAAGAAAAGCAGGGGTTTTTTTTTTTTTCCTGCCACGTGGGAAAAACATTAACAAACAGACAGATTTTGCCCTTAACCCTGGTTCCTCCAATAAAGTGTAACGTTAATCTTACCTGTGGGAGGAAGACTCATTTTCTCTAAAGAAGTCCAGGCACCCACTGAGTTATTCTTCTGCCCTCATGCTTTGCTGCACTAAATTGGTCTGAGAAAGAGTAGGGCTTGGCCAGGGCTGGACAACAGGTGACTTGATGGCCACTGGGCCTGCCTGGAGGGGGTGCCAGTGGCCTCCCTAAACCCTTGCCAGCAGTGGCCCCGCAGGTCCTCCGGCCTGATGCGGGGCATCCGGCTCAGCTGGAGGGGGGCCCAGCAGTGGGAAACCCGCACAGGCCCTGAAAGGCGTGCTCGTCAGGGTACCAGGGACCTCCTTCAGAGCCCACTGCCCCCGACTTGGGTTTTCCTAAGCCCAGGGCTCAGGGACAGCCATCAGAGGTGGCCCTGGGAATTCTTTCTTCAAGCTCCTCTCTGCTGTGGCGGGGAAGAGACAGCCTATGAGTGGTCTCCCCCTGGAGGGCAGGGACTCGGACATGGCCTGGAGCTGTGTTTTCAGAGCAGAGTGCAACAGATGGGTGTGATGGGGATGGGAAGCTCCCTGCACAGGCCACCACGTTCTGTGGCCTTACCAAGGCGATTCTGCTGTTTGTTGGGGACCCAGGTTCCTGTTGCTTATTCAAGGTTTGAAGGCTTCCAGAGTTCTTAGGACAAATCTTGAAGGAAAGAGGAAGAGAATACTTACGGGTGGCCCCATGGGCCCTGGCAGTCCTGGGTGCCCCAGAGGTCCAATCGGTCCAGGGGGGCCTGGTGGACCTGGTGGACCTTGGATGCCGGCCTGGCCCTGTTCACCCTGAGGTTCATGGAAACCAGTGTTAGAGAGAAGACCCCGGGAGCTGTAGACCAGCTCCCGCCCCCATGCCATGCACCCAGTGAAGGCCCTGCCATGGGCTCTGCTGAGAAGGCGGTGGTGATGGGGAAGGAGGGGTGGCATGACGGTGATGATGCTATGGTGGCAGTGACTACATGCAGGGGCTGGTGGAAGCGAGAAGACGGACAAGACAGTAGGTCCCCAGGAGGTGGGCTTCCAGAGAGGACTCGCTGCACAGAGCAGCTGCCCCCAGGGCAGGGAGCCCTGCTTCGGGTGGCTGAGGAGCAGGAGTGAGTGAGAGAGGGCCCCTCGGGCTGACCAAAGGCCTGCTCCGAGGCTGGCCAGCAGGCCAGAGTCCAGCCCAGGTGGTCTGTGGCCTGGGCCTGCCTCTGTCACCCTCTCTCTGGTAGCAAGTCACATCATCTCTCTAAGCTGTCGTAGCTTTTTGCTGTCTTTGATTTTCTGGCCTGAGGGATCAGATGAGATCCTTAGTTCAGAGGCCACAAATTTCATTTGGCTCACTAAACAACTGAGCAAGAAGTTCTATGTAAAAAATTCGGATTGGTGGCTTCTGATGAAATGCTGGGAACCCTGGCAACGCCGGGCCCGCATTGCTGGGTCCAAGGAGTGGCCGCCCCATTAAGCGGGGCATGAGTTCTCTGGTCACTTTGGTCCCCACCCTCCCTATCCCTCCTTACTTGCAGCCTGCTCTGTCACTTAGGTGGTCTGCCTGGCCTCAGAGGGCAGTCGAGTTCGCAACCCTCGGCTGGTTGAAGGTTTGGAACTGCAAGGTGCTTGTGCTGTAGGGGTTGCTGTTGTTACTCCCCTGCCCTGCAGACTCCTTAGGCAGCTGCTCTGAGCTCAGCCTCACCACCCACCGTGCCTGTCCCCAGGATGGATTGTGAGCCCAGGGAGGTAGGGAAATGTGTTCCTCAGGAGGAGCAGAGATCCTGGTCCAAGTGACCCAGATCTTGGGGCTGGGGGCAAGACAGAGTCATCCTGGATCTAAACCAATGCCATTATGTCATCTTCTAAATGACCTCTTCAGGGATGATGTGGGCCGAGCTCTTGTAAGGAGGGGCCCATCCTTGTAGATGGGCGAAAGCGGAACCCCCTGGCAGGTGTGAGAGCTCCAGGAGGGATGCAGGGGGACACGGGCAGCCAGAGTTCCAGTGTGATCTCAGCAAGCCCCACGGGAAGGAGGGAGCTGATGACACTCGCTGCAAACTCTAGAGGGAAGTGGCGATTCGGAATAGAGTGCGTGACTTGGGAATGAGAAATGTAAGATTTCAGCAACACCTGCTTGTACCATCTCTTGGCTAGAACATCCTAGGGCAGATGGCACCCAGGAGTGTCACTCTGGGGCCTGGGCCTCATCCTGCCACACCCTTGGAGAAGTCACTTTAGGGCTCAGGTGTCCACGGCAGAGGAGGCAGGTACAGAAATTGCTTTGGTGGCCACCCTGCCTCCAGCCCCCTATCTAGCTGCACGTTGGTTATTGGTAAGTCTCCAGGTGGTGATGTCCTTCCTGAACCAAGAAAGACTTAGCTAAACCTCAGGCTTCAAGAGGGGAACAGCGCGGCCTCCTTTTCAAGCAGACTAATTCTGATTAAGCCCCTCGGCCCCTGAGCGTCTCAGAACCCTTTGCATTGCTGCGCTGCTTCATAGTCCTCATGGCGCTTCTACGCTTTTGGAGAAGGGTAATTCACAGGCAAGGGAGGCTTAGTCTGAGACAAATCACCGAGGTCCTTTCTGACTGTGAAGTTCTAGAATCTTCATGTCCCAATCCCCATGTTACAGAAGAGAAAACTGAAGGCCAGAGAAGTTGAGCTCCCTAACCAAGGTCACACAGAGAATTCAGGGTGGATTCAGGACCCAAACTCAGAACTCCAGACCCTAGTCCTGTTCATTCCAAATAAGCCCCCAGCAAAAAAGGGCTCCCTGTCCAACTCTCTGCACTTTGGAAATGACCTCCATCGTCATCTGCTAAGCGCATCATATCTCACATAAAATTTCCTCTTTCACCTAATCCCACACCCAACGTGTAAGCATCTTGCAGAGCCTGTGAAATCAATATTGGTTTATTGATAGGACATGGACAAGCATTTTTATGTCCCCTGATGGCTAACAGCACTAAAATCCTCATTCTTAGGCAGAATTTGTGACAGGCAGACTAGGGCCCCTAGTCTTCTTTCTCTGCTTTGGAAACCAGGTCAGAGCAGCACCGAAGGTTCTGGCTTCACCACCCCTTGCATTTGAAAAGGGAGGCGGTAACATGCAGCAGCCTGGATTGAATCCCAGACCCCTATCGAGTTCTTCCTCTGCAAAGTGGGGATTGTGAGGGTGGCACCTCCACCACCGGAGGCTGCTGCGGGGAATGCATGACATAATCCATGTGGAATTCTCACCGAAGTGCCTGGAACCTGGCGAGGGCTCGACACAGAGCAGCTAATACAACTAAGGCCAGGAGGTAGCTGTCGGGGTCCGGGAGAACGGCTGCTCTGAGCATGGACTCAGCTCCCCTGGAATGAGGTCTGGCACAGGCAGGGCTGGGTGACAGTGGGGTGGGCTTGGTGCTTCTCTGACCTGCCAGGGGCCTCCTGAGTAGCCAGGCTGTGGGTGAGCGCTCGGAGCCCACGGAGGCTCTCGAGGATTTGGCCTGGTAATGCAATATGCAGCCTGCAGGCTCGGATAGCACCAGAGTCACGTGTCCGTCTGTGCTTTTTAGCTGTTAATTGGAGCGATTTTTCAGCCTTTGCAATCAGGTGCCTGAACACCCAGGCCCTTGGGCTCCTGACTCCCGAGTCAGGATGGGAGTTCGAGGCCCTGCTGTCAGGCATTCAGAGAGCTGCTCAAAGCCCTGCTGTCCCTAGCATCCCTGTGCCTTGGGGGTACGCCCCGTGCAGCATGAGGAAGCAGGGGGCACGAGGATGGCACGGCCACCTGGCCTGGAACCGAGTGGGATCTCTCGGAGAGCAGGGTAAGATCGCTCTGTTCTTTGTGATGTGCTCACAGTGAGGACAACTGTGGGGTGTGGAAGGCATTCCTTCCGCAAACACCCGCCTCCTCACTCTCAGGAGACAAGGGATCCGATGCCCAGCCATCTGCATTTCTGAGTATAAAGGATGTGGGTCCACTGAGAGAGCCCTGGCTGTGGGGTCTGCAGCCTTGACTGCCAGTTCCACCTCTGCCTCATGCTGTTTGTGTGACCTTGGGCAAATCGATTCACTTCTCTGAGCCTCAATTTCCTCAACTCCAAAGTATGGATAATAGTAATAATGACAGCTAACATTCATTATAGCACGAAAACGGTGCCAGGAACTATTCCAAGTGCTTTACATATACAACAACAACCCTATGCAGTAGACACGTATTATCCTTATATTATAGATGAGAAAGCTGGGGGCACAGAAAGGTCAAGTAACTTGCCCCAAATCACACAGGGCAGAGAAACTGGTGCAAATCTCTACTCTACAATGTACTGTCTGTGACTTTTGGGCAACTTACTTAACCTCTTGAGCCTTGATTGCCTCATCTGTGAAATAAGAATGGTCTTCCCTAATTCATAAAACCGCTGAGAATTAAATAAAACCAGACCTGGAAAGTGGGTAGCATGGTGCCTGGCACACAGTGACAGCTGTTACGAGTAGTAATCGTGTGGTAGTAACTGTGGCTCTCCTGGGGCTTGTGTCTTGTGTATTTCCACATCCGTGGTACTCACGGGTCCATTTTTGTCTAATTCGATTTCACTGAAGCAGGGCGGGGTTCTGGCTTTGTCTACTGCCCTAGCTGGCCTGCGGTGCCCAAAGACTTGCTGAGCCCCTCGGGAAAGCCACACGTGGTCTGGGCAAAGGGAAGGTGTCTACCTGGAAGGTCCGCCTTTTTATGACTGGGGGTGGAGCCAGTCGCACTGAATTGAGGAGAGGCAGCAGCTGAGGAGAAAGATGAGTTGGAAGGCCAGAGGGCAAAGGCCAAAGACCGCAGGTGTTCAGAACGATGCCAGAGGTCACCAGGAAGGCAAGGCGGCCAAGAGGGACGGGAGGAGAGGAAGAGAGAAGAGAGATCAGCGTGAGTACGAGGAGCAGGAGGGAAGGCGTGAACAGGGCACCCTACAGCTGTGGGCGCAGCACGGAGCTTGCCCTGAGATGGCATGGCCGTCCTCTAGGAGGAGGAGTGGACCCCTCTGTCCGCACCCTACCTCGGCCTCCAGGTCCGAGCTCGGGGCGTTGGCCAGCAGCCCCCTGGAATGGGAGCGTGGGCATCCTCTGCTGGGCCTGCCCTCCTGGCCATGCTGGGCTGCAGAGGCTGCCGGACACGCAGCCCAACATTGCACGGCCAGCCCTGCCCGTCCCCGCTCGGTGGACAGAGGGTAGCAGACTCAGAGGCTCTGGCTAGGGAGCCACAGGACCAGCTAAATTGGTACTTGAAGCCAGGCTGGCGTGCGGCGACCCTGGGGTTCTTTTTTTGGTTGAACAAGAAAGGCTGGAGTCAGCGAATCTGGGGAGGACGGTCGAAGCCAGTGCCAACCCCGGCTCCCAGGGGCTGGGCCGGCCGAGGGTGCGGCCAGTGTGGGCACATGCTAAGTGCTACTGAGGGCTCAGCCTGGGGCTGCAGGGCCTGGAAAATAGAGGCTGGGTAAAGATGTGTTCAGAAAGTTCAACCACTCTTTTAGGGGAGGCAACTTGTAATCACGTTATCTAATGTGACTTCCATTTCTGGAAATTCTTGCTGCTCCCAATCTTGCTCCCCGTTGGAGCTGAGCAGCCTGTGGTTTTAGGAAGAGGTTAGAGCTCACCTGAAAATGAAAATGGCATATACCGTAACCAGCCAATTGTTTTCGAAAGCTCTTTAACTCACATGAGGCCCCTGAAGTGAGCTTTAGGGACCAGGAGCTGCCTGGGCTGCGAATGTGGCCAGCTGGGGACTTGGGAGCCCAGCTGTGGCCTTTTCAGGTCACCGCTGCTGCCTCCTTGGGCCCTGGCCGTTCACAGAGCCCCACCCCCTCCCTCTGTGGGCGCATGGCGATGTGCAATGGTGGGCTCTGTGTCCGGGAAGCCTCTTGGCAGAGAGGGGCTTGGAGACCTTCCAGAACCTACAAACCTTCAGGGTAATTATCTGGCTGGAGCGCAGAGCTGCTGGCATGCTGCTTAGGTACTCCTGGTTTGGGAGGCAATGGAGTGGCACAGGGAGAGTGAAGGGAGAGCCACAGATACCAGCACCCCGCTCCCCACCCCTCCTCTCCCTCCCTCCCTGGGGAAGCTGCTGGGAACAGAGGAGGGACCACTTGGAGCTCTTGGTGTCCTCTGGCCTTGAGACCTGCCACCCTGCCCTGCCTGCAGGCCCCTTGGAGAGCCAACGGATTGCAGGAAGCCCCTGCTTTCCTAGCCCTTCTCCATATCCTTGCTCTGCCCACCAGCTTCACCCCTGCCTGGTGTGCACTCCAGACCGCCCGGTCATAACGTGTGCTTCCCTGCACCTGTGGCAGGGCACTTCTGGAGCCTTCTGTCAGGTGCCCTTCCCTCCGCTTGTGTTGGGCTGAGGGGCAGACAGCCCTCTCCTGCCCCACCCCAAGCACTCACTAAGGACCAGTGACACACTGCCAAAGCGTCTGCAGTTGTGTTGTCTTTTGTGCTGGGGGATGTTGTCTTTCTTTCGGGTAACATAACAATCCCGTGAGCCCATCGTTTCAAATAAACACAGCTGACCTTCTATTATTGTATCAGGATCAGGCTGGCCGGAACACCAGGGCTCCTGCGTCCCTGGAGCACATGCCGTGGAGAGGCCGGCTCTGTCTGTGCTTCTGCCGGCCTGTGTTCCCCAGCCCGGGCCCAGCCCCGCCTCGGACTCAAACCCGTCCCAGCCTTTCACGTTCCAGGCCCACCATGGCCTCTCCCCGGCCCAGGAACCCGAAGGTCAGAGTCTGGCATGTCTTGCAGCCCCCTGAGTGTCTGGGCAGAGCCCAGGCCCTGCTAGCAAGGCCCATTTGATGGCCTTCTACAGTCAGGTTGACTGCGAGCCCGGTTTGTGTCTGTTTCCACTCCCTAAATCCCACCGCCGGGACCTGCTGGAAGGGGCGGGCAGCCTGGGGAGCCACACCATGTAGCATACTGCTGGGCACCACGAGGCCCATGACAGAGGAGATGGACACCTGAAGATGCCATCTCCCTGTCCCTGCTGCCCAGGCCTGAGAGCAGCAAGGCTGAACACGGAGCCAGGGCCGTTTCCTGTCCCGGCTCACCCGGGCGTGTGCTGAAGGGAGCGGTGCACATCTTACCCAGCCCTGCTCCGAGACTGAGCCCTGCGGTGTTCTGGGCTCTGTATATCGGGGCGGAGCAAGGAACAGGAAGGAGGCAGCTGGGGTGGGAGGGAACCATCTCAGCCCTGAAATCTCCCCCTGCCTCCCCGCCTTGCTGCCTACTTCTGTAGGGCTTCCTCTGTTCTTAGAGGCAAAGTAGAGACTTTATCCTTGAATTGCTACGGCCACCCAGATTATCTCCCACCATTAAGGTTTGGGTCATCTGAAGCAACGATTAATCCAAAAGTCCCTCTTAGTTGGCCAGGGCAGGCCACCAGTCACACATACAGTCGAACACACACACACACACACACACACACACACACACACACACACATGCCCGACGGGCGGGGAGTCAGACGCACAGGCTCACACAAGCCACACGGAGAGGGTGACATGCTGGGGGCCCACAGGCTCAGACGCACACAGCTCAAGAGCCACGGGGCTCACCAGTCAACCGCCGGGGCTGACACGCTCCACACAAATGCACCGCCTGGGGGACACAGTCAGCTGTGCCAACCACACATACTGCCCCCCAACACTACCTCTCGGGCTGCTGAGTGCAGGGGGGCTGTTTGCTCCTGTTCCCAAGCTCTGTTAGGTGCCGAAGACCCCAGAGAGATGAGGCTGAGCCAGGGGCTGAGCCAAGGATGGATCAAAGGGCCCTGCTCAGTTTTAGGGGCTCACTTACCCGGTGCGGGTACTCTCCACACTGCCCCTGGGAATGAGAGGGAAGGAGAAGGGAATGTTAGGCACTTGTTGGGGGGACCTGTCCTCAGTGGCACCCCCAGGACTGATGGACACACCGCATACCTCATTACCCACCGGCTCTGCTGCTCTGGTTTTGGCTTGAGCCCTCTGAGGCAGGAGAACTCATTCCCTCCCTTGCCCCTGGCTGGCAGCAGGGAAGGGACCCCCAGGACCTGCCCGGAAGTGGCCCTGGGGAGGCTAGGGCAGGACTTTGCCAGATGCCGCGTGCCATGACGGTGGGTTGGGAGTTACATCCCATGTTGGGTAGGCCCACCCAATAGCCCCGGACAGGACCCCTGGGTGGCGGCAGCTGTGGACAGTGGGGCCCTCGGACACCCGCCCTGAGCTGGGAGTGCCAGGACCCTGTGCCATTCGCCCAGGGGCAAGCCCAGCAGTCTCCATCAGAAGTTCAGCCAGACAGAGAACGCAGGAGGCCAGGAAGGGGGCCAGGCCAATGGTTTACAGATTGGCACCTCAAAATCCCAGGGGCTCATGGAGGTGGGTCAGGGAACACTGTGGGGGTGACATCTGGGAGAGGCCAAAAAGGAGGCTGAAGAGGGCCAGGCTCACCCCAAGAAAAGAATGTCACCAGGGCAGCTTCACCCGAATCTCTCGTACGTTCCATAGCACCTCAGGGGCCTCCCTGGCTCTGGCGATAAAGACTAAAATTTGAAGGTAACCACTTTGAACCCCTTTCTGCTGGCCGGGAGGCTGTTTCCTGAGATGGGGATTCCATTGCGCTTACCTTTTCTCCTTTTTGTCCTTGAGGTCCCTACAAAGAGACGGAGGTGAGAGTTAGAAACTGGAGCTAAGGACGCAGTGGCCCGAAGCGGCTCTGCGGGGAAGAGTAAGATGGGTACCAACCGGCTGTCCTCGGGGGCCTGTCAGACCCTGTGGGGAGGAAACACACACAGGTCAGTGGGCACACAGAGGACGGGCAGGGCAGAGGCACATGCCAGCGTGGGGTGTGGGGCAGACATTGGGGCTTCCTGGGGCTTTTCAGACCGGCCACGGCCAGATCTTCCTGTGCCCAGTACATTCAAGGCTGTGTGGCCTCATTCGCCAAGTCTCAGCTTCACCCATCGGACCAGGCGGGCCCCGACCCCTGTGTGGGGCTGCGATGAGGAACAGATGCGTCCTTCAGTCATCCCTCAACCACTATGACCTCGTGCGCCTGCAACGTAGGCGGCTGCACCGAGCTGTCAGACGGTTTCTGCCGTGACACACACCCTGCCTGGCACACACCGAGCCTCTGGGAGACCCTAGCACCTTCCGTCTTCTACCTCCCAGGTCCCAGTGACACCCACCAAACCAGAAGGGCTTCTGAGGACATGGGGGCCAGGCCAGGGCCGCAGACACTGGGGGCTTTGGAGCAACCTTAGGCAAAAGAGGGGAAGCAGGAAGTTGGCAACGTGAGCCCTGTTCTGGGCTTCTCTGAGGAACGCAGGGGGTCTTGGGGTTTCCTCCAAGGTTGTCTTGTCTGGTTCACAGGCTAAGAAAGGAGCGGGATCAGGGTAGACCCTTGTTCTCTGGGGGCCCAGCGTCCATGGGTCTCTCAGGAGGCTGCATGGGGGCTGGTGCTGAGGGGCCTTGTGGCCGTCACATCGCTGTGCCGAGGAGCCACTCTGAGGCCGGGAGGAAGGTGCCGGGTCTCTCCCAGGCCAGAGGGCCTGCAGCTCAGGGAATGGAGGTGCTGGGCGTGAGCCCAGGTTCGTCTGACTGCTGAGGTCCAGCTGCACCGCCCTCTCTGAACTGGGCCAGTCTTTTTAACACTAAGGTCCACAGCACAGGGTTCATCGGGCAGGGACCAGGGGCCAGACCACAGGTGACCAGGTCACCTCTCCCAGGACAGGTAGCGGTGTGATGGGGCAGGGGCTGAGGAAGCTAACACAGGTTTACGACTGCAGAGACTCAGGGGATTGAGCCCAGACGTCCCGAATGGTGGCTCATGGGGACAACTGTGGTATTTTGTTGGTCCCACATGGCTTTATGGCTTTATTTCAATTAGTTGCCAACACTCCAGAGCAAGGAGAGTGTGAATAAAAATCTGGACTTCCAGTTTCTCTTGGTTAATTGGAGGCCCAAAGACACGTGGTACCGATCAGCTCCAGGTGGACAGAGTCTCAGTCACGGGCAACGTGCCCAGCCCTCGGCCACCAGCCCTCGGCCACCAGCCCTCGGCCACCAGCCCTCCACTAGCCACCATTGAACATGGGGAAGGGGCTTGTGAGCTTCCTGTGTGCAGGCACCGCTACAAGTGCGTGGGGCGCCCTCACCCCTAGGACAGCCCTGTGGGTGGTGGCTGGGATTTGAATTCAGAGTCCTTGTCCTGCTCCTGAGTCTGGGACCTGCAATTGCGTCCTCTCAACTCCTTATTTCAGGTCCTTGGGGCTACCGTGAGGTGGGTGGGGCAGAGGTGGCCCCCTCTTACTGGCAAGGACGTGGGGGTGCAAACACAGGAGGGTACTAAAGTCGGGCGCCCAGCAGAGGGGAAACCCCTGGAGAGGGAGCGAGCCGGGGATGGACAGATGACAAGCGGGCCGAGATAATTGCACCCGACAGCAGTGGTGGATGAATGGCTCGGTCCCCACGCCAAGCCAAACAGGGGTCTGATGGCTCTGTGGCCTGTCGGGTTTTGATGGATGGTGAGACAGAGGGGGATCTGTCGCACCGATGTGGGCCTGTGGGAGACGGCACGGCCCTGCCCTTTCTCCGAGTTAGCTCTGGCCCCAGCAGACAGCGAAGGCTCACAGGGGTCGAGTGGGTGGGGCAGAGGGCTGGTGTGGGCAGAGTGAGGGGACAAGGGGAGCCCACGGAAGGGGTCCGTTCCTTCAGGACAAAGGGCGCTGGCAGCAGGGAGGCAGCGTGGCCGAGGGCTAAGACCCTGCCGGATGGGTCTGAATCTCAGCTCTGGTGTTGAGGAGCTGTGTGGTCTCAGGCAATGTACTTAGCCACTCTGTTCCTCAACTTCCTGTCTTGTAAAGGGATAATAAGCTGTTGTGAGGATTACAAAACAGCGCCTAGCGGGTGACCATTGTTATTACCTCCCGGGTGGGGGCCATGGGCTACCTCATGGTTGCATGGGGTGCCCAGGAGGGGAAGAAGGTGAGTGAGGGGGCTAGAGGGATAAGCATCTAACCGTTGGTATCCCCATAGCAATGGCAGCACGGAGGTTCACCCCTGCCTGGGTCTCCGTTACTCCACACACGTGCACAGCACGCTTAGGAACAGGGAAAGGGCAGGAAGGAATGCATTTGCAGTGGAGGTAGCTGTGACGGAGAGGAGAGCTTGCTGGGGGACCTGGTCCCAACGCCAACTCTTTCGCCCCCTGCCCCCAGTACCTTGCTGCCCTCCCTCCCGTTCTGTGGATGTGGCAAGGACTTTCCTACCTCAGGGCCCTTGCACATGCTATTCTCATGTGTCCGAAATGCTCCTTCCCACTCCCTTTTCTATTTTCTCTGGTTAAATCCTCATCCTTGAGGCTCCAGTTCAAGTCTCTTTCTCAGGAAAGCTGTCTGTGACCCTCAGCCTGGGTGAGGTTTCCATCATACTGAGGTCCCTCAGGGTACTGGGAACTGCCTTTCATAGCATTCATGACAAGGCAATTTGTCAATTATGTGAGTGATGATTTAAAAGCACATCTCCCCCACTGGACTGTGGGCTATAGGCGGCAGGAACAGTGAGGATTAAATGAGATAATACATTAGCCCAGTGTCTACCACACAGCAAACCTCATACCTGTCGGTTGGGGCTGAGGCAAAAGGACAGGCTGCAGTCTGGAGGGAGCTGAGTTGCTAAGGGTCCCCTGACAAGTTAGGGAGGGCTGGGCTGGAGTCAACACTCCTCATCTTCCTTCCCAGTCACAAGATTACCTGCCTCCCTCAGTGCCCTGGCAGTGCCCTTGTCATGGGCCAGGAGTGTCTCACACTAGCACTTGGAGCAAGGCGCAAGCCGCACCCTGGCTGGATGGGGCGGGGGAGCCTGCCATGTTGCTCTCACCACCCCACACAGATCGCAGGCTGGCCAGCCCTGTGGCGCAGGGGGTGGCCCCTCCCAATGTGGGTGTGACCTAGGACTTGGGAGGCAGGAATGCATCCCCTGGGTGGGGGGGCAGCCCATTTGCTCATAATGGCCCTTCAGTCCCTGCTGGGAACTGGGCCACTCACTGCTCCTGCGGGGTGGGCACCCTGATTCCCTTCTGCAGGTGGTGGCCCATGGAGAGGGCAGATTCCTTTCAAAAGCTCTGGGGAAGGTGGAAGGGCCAGGAGGAAGGTGGGGCGAAGGTCTGCTACCGTGCCTGGTGGGGCAGGGGCCCCTGCAGTCCCTGGGCAGCTCAGGGCAGAGCTGGCCTTGAGGAGGGTCATGATGCCCTGAGGAACATCAGGCTCACAGGAATGGCATCTCCTGGAGGAAGCGTCCCCAGAGAGTTCTGATGTGAGCTTGTCCCCAAAGGCCCATGCCAGTGCAGTTTGGGAGCGCTGAGCTGGCCACTGGCCTCCATGTGCTACCTGCCAGGTGTGGGCTGTCTCTGGCCCTCCCTTCCTCAAGCTTCAGGTGGAGAAGCCCCTGCCCACCTCTCCTCCCTGCGTTGATATGAGGATCTAGGGCATGTGCTTGTACAAGGCTGGGGAGTGACCAGGACAGAAGCCACTCCCGCTGTCCCCAAAGGGCCCCCATCTGCGGGGCAGGCCTTCTTTTCGTAGCTGTGAGGTCAGGCCGACCCCCACCCATCTCAGGAAGGCAGGAAGGCGGGGCTCTTACCATCTCCCCCTTTGGTCCGGGGTGGCCCTGGAAGGAGAAGAGGCTGAGAGGCAGGAACACTGTCTGCAGCCCAGAGGCCCACCCCACCTGCCCCACGCGACCCTCCCGCCACTCTCCCTTTGCACCTCCCGCCTTTCTCACATGGTCACTCCACGCAGTCACTGGCTTGTCCTCCCAGTCCCTGACCCTCTGACTCAGACGAGGTCACTTGCCCACTGTCCTTTGCTGGGTCTTTCTAGCAGCTGCCTACCCTGCAGAGGACAGTGGGGGATGATCTCCCTGGACCCCAGCCCTCACCCTGTCCATGTGCCTGGGACAGCTTCGGGGGACACCTGGTCCTGTGACGTGAGTGGACATGATCACCAGGGCCCCTGGGCTGCACTTAGCTCACTGGTCTGCAGTGGGGGAGTGACCGGGTGGGCACTTGGGCCCCTCATCTGCGAGCTGTGAATTGTGGGGCCAGGTTCAGCCATGGGTGAAGCCGCATCACACCCACCCGATGCCTTCACTTGGGGGCAATTCCGAGGGCTTTGGAGGGGTCACGCCCCCTTCCAGCTCACCCCTTCCTTGGAGTGTGGAGGGGCCTCCTTTCCCCTGGGAACATTTGTGCCAGGGGACCAAGTCCAAAGAACTGAAATGAGCAAAGAGAGGAGCTGTGGCCGGAAGCAGCCTCCTCGTGGACTTGGGCACACGCATGGGGTCCTGACCGGGGAAGAGCACAGGGTGCTCGGGAGCCGGGGCCAGCGTGTGCCCAGGTGCCCAGCCTCTCCTCACCGGCCCCACCAGAGTCACCACATTTTAGCGTCTCCAGACACCAAGAGCCCAGCCTGGCACCTGGGGACTTGTGCCCTGGGGAAGCCCACTGGGGCCGGGGAACTCAAATGGTCCCCACCCTTTGCTTTGGTGACAAGCTTCCACCTCAGGAATTTCCCTCCTAAGTAAAGCATCTCGAAGGAGTCAGGGCCTTGCAGAAGGACCAAGAGACCCAGCGTTACTGGCTTGGACTGAGGTGGGACGAGGAGCCTCCATCCTGAGAAAGGGCCCACTTACCGGTTTGCCGTCTAGCCCAATGGGACCCTGAAACCAGAAAGGCCAGATGTAAAGACCAAACATTACAGGCCTCCTGCCAAAGAGGCTGCCCGGGCCAGTGGTTAGGAGTACAGCTTCTGCATTCCACCGAGTTAGGGTTCGAGTGCCTGCACGACCACTTACTTGTTATGTATATATCGGTCAACACTGACATCAAAGACATCCCCCTTACCCCAGGGGGAAAGTGGGTAATGTGTTCCTAGGACACCAGGGCTGGCCAGCAGTGAGGCCTGCAGGAAGAGGGAACCAGCCGCTCCCCCTGCTCTGCCTCTCAGAACCTGTCCTAGGCCCCACAGGCAGGGGTCAAAGGCCACTCACCAGAAGCCCACCCACCGCCCCCTCTGGGGTGGACCTCCTCTCAAAGCCAGTTGGAGGTTGACCCCAGTGTGCTTCCCTGCAGCACCTCATTTGTTCCACATTCCAGTGTCATGCTGGGCTTTATCAGCCTGTGACTTCACCCGCCTGGTTCCTGTCCCACTGCCCCTATCTTGTGTATTTATTTCCCTGTATCTATTTCTTGCACCGTGAGCCCAGCGCTGAGCTACTCTCCTGGGTTGGCGTCCATGAATGGCTGCAGAAGCAGGTCCTTAATGACCAGCGTTTGGAAGAAGTGGCATCAGGGCTGGCCTCAGAGGAGGTTTAACCCAACCAGCCTAGAGATCACCTGGGACACAGCTGACCTTGGCCTTCCCCACTTACCGGAAATCCGGGAAAACCTCGGGTGCCTGGCTGACCCTGAAAAGAACAGGAAGGCAGTGAGGATGAGCGAGGATGAGGAGGAGAGGAAGCTAATCCCCAGTCCCCTGGCTCATCTTAGCTCCCATCTCTCCCACTCCTGTGTGACCATCCGTCGGGGGGACACTCGGTGAGCGGGCTGGGAGGGAGGATGCAGAAAGATGGAAATGGAACATCATCAGAGATCTCCTGCAGGGACTAGGGATGTGGAAAGAAAAAGGGGGGACAGCATCCTTTGGGTCGACTTCTAGGAAGCAGGCCCTGGAGAGCTCCTCACTACTGTGGGGGCTCTGCTCGTAAACAGACAGGCGGGGCGGCGAGGGCAGCAGGACTCAGCTTGCAGCACACTGAACTCCTGGGCTGAGGTCCTCTCCTCCAAGTCTGTTTTTATTTACATAGTCATTGCTCATGGCCACTTATCCAGGGATGGTTTGGATGTTGGCAGATACCAGAACTCGACCTTCGAAATGTGTGTTTCAGGCTAGAACAGGTCAGATTGCTGGTGTTTCTCTCCCCTGGCCAGCAGACATCTCCTAGCAGCTGGGGGATCTCTGGATCCCCCAGTCTTCACGGGATGCAGAGCAATCCACACCCATTTTTCTGGAGTTGCAGAGTGCAATGCACATAGATATTCAGGCTGGAGACGAGAAGCAGGTTCACTGGTTACAGCCCAGTGGTTTATGATCAAGATTCAGGACAAAAGACATCTCTAGAAGAAGCGAGAGGCTGTGAAGATCCAGGGCTGGGGAGGGATGACCAGGAGGTCAAGGGTAATGGAAAGCTAAGATACTTGAGTCTTGTCGCTCCCCTGCCCAAGAACCAGCAGTGGCTCCTTTCTACTCACCTATCATTCAAGCCTCTCCCCAGTCTTGCCCCGATCAGCCTTTCCAGGCTGTTAGCTCCTTTCCTGCTTCATCTTTCCCCTACTCTGCCCAGGCACACTGGCTCACCTGCTTTTCCTGGACACACTTGTCCGGCTCTCAGCATGGGCTCTCCCTTGGCTGAGGTGGCCACAATCTGTTCCTAAGCAAGGGCTTTTGAGTCTGGCAGACTGCGTTCTAATTCTGCTTCCACCAGCAGTGGCTGTGTGACTCTGAGCAAGTTGCCTAACCTCCCTGCGCCTCAATTTCCTCATCTATAGAACGAGGATGGCCTCATATAACCTCATAGAGTCACTGAATGACCTCCAATTATGTTTGTAAAGCCTATTGAAATGGTAGCTGCCATCAATGGATTTTTGTTGAACTGAACTGAACAGAGAAGATCTAGGACAAAGCAAGTTTTCTTTTGAGCTCAATATATCTTGGGGTCAATGAAGGTTTCCTTATCAGGCAGTAGTTCCAGAATCTGATCCTATGCAGGGGAAGATTTCTCTAGATCCATCTGCTGTGACCCTGAAACATCTCCAGGCTGCTTGGGTCCTCCTTGAAACCACGGACAGGCATGCCCAATGGTCTGTGCCCAGGGGACACGTCAGCTTCTCTGGCCGGGTGGGATGGGGACCCTGCTGACAGGAGGGGTGCGCTGGTTCGGCAGGGCACGAGCTAAGTCTGCTGCAGGCTCAGGGTGGGCTAGTGTCAGGCATCCAAAAGGGCAAGAGGAGGAGATGCTACTCAAATATTGGAAGGGCCCCCGGCTTTTCTCCTCTCAAGGATAAGTGAGGCTAAGAATAGCGCTAAGGAGAAAATCTGGAAACTGTGCAATGTAATCTCTGAAACCTCCCAGTGTAAACTTCTGTGGATGCTTAGAGGCCCGAAGAAAAGGTCAGGAGGAGAGGATTCCAAGAAACATCTTCAAGTCCCACTAGGGACAATATTTACGTGGTAGGGATAATCACACGGTTTGCTAATTACAGAGCCTGCCCTGGTCGCAGGATGCATCTCCCTAACCAGGGCCAAGTCCAGGGCTAACCAATGCTTTTTCAGGGATCTTGGGAAGAATGTTGTCATTGACCAAATGGAAAGTAGGACTCTACTTCCCGGAGAGGCTGGGCCTGGGGAAGGCACTTGGGGAGACTTGGAACTGGATATTAATTTATCTCTCTTCAATTATGTCCTGAGGTTAAACATCGTTTCCAATGTTTATTGGCTGGTCTTATTGGTAAACTGCCTGTCTGCACTCTTTACCAATATTTTCTACTAGGTTATTTGTTTTTTCCCTACTGATTTGAATAAAGCTCTTTGTCAAGAACAATAACTCTTTGATAGTCATGTATGTTGTGAATATTCTTTCCAATTAGGCATTTGTCTCTGATTTTGTTGATGGCATATTTTCTACCATAGAGAAGTTTTACATTTAAGTAGACAAACTTTATCTCTTCCTATGGCTTTTGGGTTTTGTGTCATGTTTTGAAAAGTCCTTCCTCAGTTCAGAATTACAAAACATTCACTCATGCTTTGTCCTTGTATTTTATGGTTTCACGTTTTACATCTAAGTATTTTATTCATTTGGGATTTATTCTGATATAAGGATGGAAATTTAGCTTTTAAAAAAACATAACTCTTTCATTTTACTTTTTTCTACATGGCTTGCCAGTTGCCACAGCGTCATTTCCTGAACAATCTACCTTTCTCTTCCTATTGTAATGTAGACTGTATCAGGTACCAAATTCCCATCTGCATTTGGCTTTATTTCTGGCCTCCCTGTTCTGTTCTATTCATTAGTTTGTTTTGATTTTCTGTTTTTATAATACATTTTGATATCTAGTAGAACAGCTAGCCCTTCCTCTCCTGTCCCCCTTACTCTGTTTTTCAGAATTTTCCTGACATTCTTACAAGCTTATTTCTTTCAAATAAAACTTAATATTATTTTGTTGGACTCCCAACCCCATCAAAAATGCACTAGGATTAGAATCACGTTAAATTTATCGCTAGCAGATTTATCTGTAGATTTACTTATGGATTAGCACTACATCCTTCTATACAAGAACAAGGGAAATAAGCTTTATATTGACCTCCTCCCCATCTTCCTTCTACCTGCAAGTACTCAGGGTAAGACAGCACAGACAGGAGGTTCTGGTTGGAAAGAGCGCATTGGGGAGTCCCCTTCCCTCCTATTTGATGCCTGGAACAGGGTCAGTTGCATATCTGCCCAGAGCCTGCCTCATTGGCCTTCCTCGCCCCAATTCAATACCGACCCACAAGACCCTGTGCTGGCAAACATGTAATCATTGGCTGGGTTGGTGGGGGGAGAGTACTGCTTTGCACAGCACTTGCCATGGCTGTGGTGTAAATGCTCTCCCCGTAGCTGGTTTCAAGCTATCAAGGTCACTGAACACAGCTGGCAGGAGGTATGCACAGTCTACTCTCGTGAGCCATCTGGACTAGCTCTAGCACACTCACACTCTGACCCTTTAGCGCACAGACAGTTCCCCTTGGGCATTACGAAGACATCTCAAATTCATCACGCGCAAATTAAACTCATCTCCCCCGGCAAGGTCTGCTCTCCCTTCTGGGGAAGGGCGCTCTGTACTCAAGTCAGAAATGGGGCGTCATCTTGAGCTCCTGCTTCTCCCTCAACACCCACTTCTATCATCACAAAATCCCATCATTTCCACCTCTGAAATATCTCACGGTCCACCCCTCCTACCCAACCCAGGACTCTGCTGCAGTCCAGGCTCTGGTTACTGCAAGCACCTTCCAACCAGCCCCCACCTGCAGCCTCAGATGACTTTCTTAAACTGCAAATGTGACCACATCCCTCATCAGCCTCGCACAACCTAGGGCTCTTCCAGCCCTCGGGACAATGCCCAGCACCTGAGCACAGTGTTTGGGCTCCTCACAGGTCCTGGATTGCGGTTTAGTTATCCCTTCCTTCCCGAAGCCTTCCCTGCCTGTCTCCCCCCAGCCCAAGTCCAGTGCCTCCTCCGTGTCCCAGGGTTCCCTGCCCATGCCCTGCCTTAGCGCTTACTGTCTGTACTGTGATGGAGCATGTGATTGCTGGTCTCTCCCACTAGAGCGTGTGCCTGGAGGGGCCAGCAGGCTGCGGGTGCATCTAGCGTGCACCGGGTTCCTGACAACTATGAAGGAGTGAACTGAGACACACTGAGCAGGTGTGTCTGCCTGGCGTGGGGTGCTCCCCTGTGGATGAGGGCTGGAGATCCAGCTCAGGGAGGGAGTGAGCTGCCTTTGAGATGAGGCATTTCCTGGGCACTGGCAGATCACCTGCCCAGTGCCTGTGGGGCTGGCCAGCCTCTCTGGGGCCAGCCTCCTCCTTGGTTTAATGGGGCTCCCTCAAAAGTCAACATGGCGGGACACTCTGCTCCATCTTGCTTCCTCTTCCTTGGAATGTGACTCTCCTTCTCCAAAGGGCTCGGCTGGCCCCCGTTTTGCTTAGACCACTTATCAGGCTCCAGGAGGGGAGGCAGGTGGCCCCTGAGAGCAGCAAGGCTGGTTCTTATTAGCAGCATTTATTCTGGGCCCTTCCTTGCTGAGTGGAAAACCACATGTTCCCCACCAGCCCCAGGTGCCAGGGGCCCTCGCTTGACCTCTACTCTTTAAGGACAAACGGACCCTTTGTCTCCTCACCCTTGTCCCCTGCTCCCACGAGCTCAGGGTTGGCTTACCAGGAAGAGCTGACAGCTGCCCTGCTGTCTAGTGGGGACTCAGCAGGGGAGGCCCAAGCTGCCAGGGTGATGGGGACAAAGTCATAGGACGCTGGGCTCAGCCAAGACTCCTGGTGCCATAAAACCTTTCCAAGTGTCAACATAGGCAGCACCCACGGGAAGAATTTTTTCTCCTGAACTAAATATCCTCTTTAAACAGTACAGCTTCAAGCATGGAAGCAGTGTCGGGGCAAGAATTCAGGCTTTGCAATGAGGCCGACCTGGCCAAACCCAGGCTCCAGCACTTACTAGCTGGGTGACCACAGGTGAGGTAAGAAACTCTCAGTTTCCTCCTCTGTAAAATGGGCCAGTGGGGCCTGCCTCACAGCTAGGTCAGGAAGTCTGAAGGTGACCTAGTACATGATAGATGCCCAGGAAACAGAAGTTATCATTGTTACCGGAGTAGAAGGTAGTTTTCACCACTGGCTCAAATCCAGTGCAGTGGACTGTTTCTGATTAGGCTTACGCGTGCAGGGCTGAAGCCTGGAGGAGCTGAGGGAGGCCACTGCCCCAAGCACGCTTCCAGCAGTGGAACCTTTTCAACAACTTTTTGGTAGACTGGTGACATGATTTGCTGAAAGGGTGTGAGAGGACCAGTGGACCCACACAATAGAACACCTGTAGTGAGACCAGAAGGCAGACAGAGATGGCGGCCAAAGGATAGGTAGATGTTCTGTGGGACTCCCCTGTCCTCCTGACAGGCCCACCCCAGGCCTGGTCCTCCATGCTAGAACCCGGGGACTGTATTCTTTCTTCTCATCAGCACCTTCGTCAGGAACAAGTGGGTTCAGGGCATCTGCCTTGTGCCTCCCCAAGTACATGGGAGGCTTGAAGCCCATCAGGGCAGCTGCGGTGTGAGCCCAGGAGCACATGTGACAGTGACACTGAGCCTGGCAGATCCATCCCAGCAGCAGAGTTCAGAGGGCAGACCCTGGAGCCACACGGCCTGGTGGGTGATCAGCTCCGAGTGTGGCTACACTCCAGCCCTATGACTTTGGGCAAGCCACGAAACCTCTCTGTGCCTCAGTTTCCTCATTTGTACCATGGAGGCAGCAACAGTCCCTACCTCATGGCTTATTGCGAGGGTTAAGTGAGTTAATATGTGTAAAAGTCTTAGTTTATGGCCTGCCACAGAATAAGTGCTGAGTGGTCAGTCTTCGGTGTCATCATTATGGTCAGACCCCAGAAGAACACCTTGCTGAGAGGGCCATGTCTGCTCAGCCCAGGGCCTGACCTGTCTGCCAGCCTGGCTCACCTGCCTTAGCTCTTGCCTTCCCAGATGGGCTCTGGGCACTGGGCACTCAGCTCACTGCAGCCCTCTCCCTTGGACGCAACTTAGCCATTTGTTCTCTGACCTCTCCCTCTCCCTTGGCCGTGGGTAGAAGAGGCTCCTGCTCCATCCGCTCTCTCCGTGGAAGGCAGCGGAACAGGCAGGCTGGGCTTCATCCACGCATCAGGCTAGCCTCAGTCTCTCGGAGGCTAGGTCTCTGCTCCCCGCCCCCCACCATGCGTGGCTGGTCAGGAATAGTGCCCAGCTGAATGCGCAGCCAGCGGCCTTCTGCTGTGGTGGAAGCTGGGTGCTAGGGCTCCTGGGTTCTAATCCCGACCAAGCCCCTACCCCTCTCTGGGCCTCAGTTTCCCCTTCTGAGAGGGTTGTGTTAACCATCACGGGGGTCATTTCCACCCTGATGTTTGGTGATTTGGTCAAAGCCCCGTGATTTGAACACTCCGGGAAAAACCGCCAGTCCTCCTCCCCTAGCCCCGGTATCGTGCCGGCTTCATCGCCCACACCCCACTTTCCGTCCGGAAGGCAGCACATCTGGGGGACACCTCCCCGATCTTCCCAGGCTCCCGGTCACTGGGTGGAGGGTGCTGGTTGGAGGGTGCTGATTAATACGTGGGACCCAGCACTGCACACAGAAAGGAGCCTTTGGGGGTGGGGGTGGCTGGGCCCAGTAGGCGCCTGGGCCAGCGAACCCAGATTCAGTATCTGCTCCGTGGGCTTCCAGAAGGCTCCTTGCTCCCGGGAAGGCTGGAGCACCCGTCAGAGAGGGGTGGGCACTTGTTCCCTCCTCCTGTGAACAGCAGGGCCGCCTCCCAGCTGTTGTAGCTGTGTGGCTAGAGGGTAGGCCCCTCAGAACCCGCTCGCTTGAGAGGCTGTAATTTAGGTATATTTAGTCAGGCTGCTTGCTTTAACATCCACATGGGCACTGAGGCCTGGTCGGGCTGGCCACATCACAGGCAGTGGCTGCCACGCCCAGAGGCACAGCCGGACTCACTGTCCCCTCGCCCTTCCCAAAAGCCCTTTTCAGCAACTCACCCATCCCCCGCCGCACCCTGAAGAAGAACAAAAACAACTTACAGGGGGGCCTCGGGGACCGATGATGGACAGCCCAGCATCTCCGGGGACCCCCTGTTGGGAGAGAGGGGGAGAGGGAGCATGGGGGCGGGGGCAGAGAAGAGCAGGAGGGAAGGAGCTGGAAGGGGCTGGGGCTGGCGGGAGGGGACGCCAGCCTCACCTCAGCCTCACCAGACAGGAGGACTGGAGGGAGGACAGACGGACTCAGGGCAGAGGACACACAGATGGGTGCATAGGGAGCATTCCAGAAGGGTTGTGAAGGGCAGGGGAGCAGCAGGAAGGAGGGGATAAGGGGGGTGAGCGAGGGCACAGGGTATGGGGTCCAGGGGAAGGAGGGCGGTGGGTCCCCAGGCCAGGCAGGAGGCAGCGGCCAGAACAGGATTCATTGGCATGGTGGGGGGTAAGAGGGAGACAGGAGGGAAGGGAGCCTTAGCAATGGCTGTCTGGGCCCTGAGGGCTCGCCCCATGCCCTGCTCAGGACACTTTCCAACCTCCCTCAGCCCCCTGCCCCACCTCCCTCTACCTCCCCACCCCCATCCCCAAATCCCCCTCTGCCAGCACACTCCGCAATTGGAGAACAGTGACCTGCCCTGAGCACAGGGTTGTGGAAACAGGAAGTGGGGACAGGAGACTCACACGTGCTCTGTGGACCCAGCAGCCCTGGAAATGAAAGCCTGAGCTGCCTGGATTTCCCAGTGCTGGGCTGAGAATGACACGAGGGTTTAAGGCCGGGCAGGACTTTCAGCCCTGAGAGGACGGCAGGCCATGCTGCTGGGCTGGGAGTGCAAAGTGACGTTAAGGGTGGCTGAACTCGCTAGATGGATACTGTGCGCGCCCATGTGTGTGTGTGTGTGTGTGTGTGTGTGTGTGTGTGTGTGTGTATGGAACAGGGGTGGAGGTGAAGGGCTGGGACTCCTTGCAGGATGCCCGTCCCACCAGCAGGGCACCCCTCCCAGCGGAGGCAGGCAGGGCAGGGCAAGAGCCCAGGGCCTGAGTTTAAGGTCTTGCTCGGCCAGGCAAGTCCTGGAACTGCTCTCAGCCACATACCTCCTCTGTGAACGGGGGTGCTCAGAGCTGCTCTGCTGCCCTTATGGAAAATGCATTTTGTAAAATGTCAAACCTCACATGCAGGTGAAGGGTGATTTTGAATTACTAACTGTTTATGCCATTGCAACGATACAATAATTTTTATACCAGATTAGGTGGTGTAGAAGTTAAGAGAAACTGAAGCCCAGCTCTGCTCCCTACAGCTGTGTGAGCTTGGGCAAGCTACTTAACTTCTCTGTGTCTGTTTCCTTATCTGTCTCAGGGATAATCCATGCACCTGTCTCATAGGGTGGTTGTGAACATTTCATGAGATAATGTAAAGTGCTTAGAACAGTGCCTGATCCTTGGAAGAGGTTGTGCCTTTTCTCCTGGGCAATCTAACCCCTTGCCAGGTGGGGCTGACAGTCTCGTTCCACTTGGAGGACAGCACAGCATGGTGGTTAGGGCCCTGGCCTTGGAGTCAACCACAATGGGGCTCCTCTTCAGCTCTGCCTCTGTCTAGCTGTGTGACCTTGGGCATATGACTTTGCCTCTCTGTGCCTCGTGGAAATGGGAATATTAAAGCTTCCCTGGAAAGGCTGTGTCAGTGTTAATTGGGGAAACAGAGACAAAATACTTACAACTGCGCCTGATACAGTTTGTGATTAATACGTGGGAGCTGCTATTATTGTCGTTACGATCATTATTTTGGAGACGGGAGGCACTAGTGCAGAAATGCTGCAGGCAAGGGCAAGGAAGCACTGCGCTGGGCACCAGGAGGTCTGGCTTCTAGCCCCAGCTCATCGCCGTTGCTGTGCGGCCCTGGGCAGCCCCAGCCCTTCTCTGGCCCTCACACGAGCTTCCTCATCTGTAACACGAGCTGGTTGGATATGCAGGGCTCTGGACTCTCTTAGGAACCCCTTGAGGTTCCGGGATGGCTTCCTGGGCTTCTGGTTTCCCCGGGGGGCTCAATTCCATAACCCCGGGGTCCCCCTAGGCATTTCCAGCTCTGCTCTCCTTGCCTTGGGGAAGGGTGACTGCCTAAGGCTGGGGATCAGAGCGATGAGGCCACATGCAGTCAGGGGACACCCACTCAGCCAGGAAGGCTGGGACCACAGCCCAGGAATCCCAGACTCCTGCCCGATGGTGTGGAAGCTGTTAGGATACGGGGCCTCGAGAGGCTGCGAGGACAGAGCAGGCCTGGCCGGCACCCTCTGCCGGGGCCTTTGTGTGGGAGGAGGCCCCAGAGGCTACCACCAAGAAGCCATCGTGGGTGGAAGAGGAGGCCGGGTGAAGGGCAGAAGGGGAAGCGTGGACTCACCTTCTCGCCTGGTTGGCCCTTCACTCCCTGGGACAGCCACATGCGACACAGGGTGCAGGGGGGTGGGGGGGAGAGAACAAAGAAAGAGGATGAGTGAGAGGCAGACACACAGGAATCCATGTTCATGGCACAATGACCAAACAAATCACTGTGAAATAAGAAACAAAACAAAACACAGATGCTGACACATGACAGTCCCACGTCCAACAAGCACAGCATGCGGAAGGCTATTGCCTTAGCCCGTGCAGCCGGTCCCAGCCAGCTGTGCCAGATAACAGAGAGGAACCATGGCGGGGGCCGCAAGGGGCTCTCTCAGAGGTGTGCCTCTGTGTGTGAGACAGAGACAGACAGATGGGACCCCACCTGGGTCAGGAAATCTGCTCCAGAAGGCACGGCCCCAGCTGGCTGGGGCCATCCAAGGTGGGGGCAGGGATGGGGAGAATTTCCCAGGGACTGTGCTGTGACAGTGGCATCTGGGAGGTCTGAAGCTCCAACCGAGCACCAAGTACAGAGCTCTGCAATCCGGACAGCCCCAGGTCACTAGGACTGGCCAGGCAGGCAGAGGGAGGTGGCATGGAGGAACACGGAGGACAAGGAGGGACGGGCACAGCTGGAGGCTGGAGCGTGGGTCAGTGATGCAGAGGAGACTGGGTGTCGGCCCACAGTGGCCAGTGGCAGCCCCAGCCCACCCAGCTCCCAGCAGGCCAGTGTTGCCACCTGTGCTGAACCACAGGACTGACCCAGGCATTTCACACTCATTGGCCACCCCAGCCCTTGTCAGGTGGCTCTGCCAGCACCCCTACTGGGCAGCCAAATGGGCCCATTGTCACATTTAAAATAGCACCAGTGGCAAGAAAGCCCCAAAGTGGCCTGAAGATAGGCTCGCCTAGAAGGAAGTGAGGAGGCGCCTGTGGCTCCACTCCCTCGTCCCCCACTGCTGTGACGGACACTTCCTGCAATGTCCACAGGCCCAAGGAGGGCAGGAGGGGGGAGGCTGAGAGGGGACGCTTTGCATTTTGCAGCCTTCCCAGAGGCTCCCGAAGCTTATCTATCGGCAGCAAGGACTTTGGGGTCCCACAGTTGGCTTGGGTACGTTGAGTGTCAGTGTCCCCATCCACAAAACTGGGGTTCAGAGAGCTGGGTGGAGAGTGTGCCGGGCTCAGGCCCACACACCGGAAGCCCCCAGGAAAGCGTGGCTGAGGTTTCCCTGCTCTGTACAGGACCCTGTGACTAGTTGGGTGGACTCAGGGTCTCGAGTTAGAGAACTGAAGCAAAGCAACAGGGCCAGGCAGAAACGCCGCGGTGCTCTGGTCTGGGAAGCCGTGGGGGAGCTTCAGGTGGGTGGCCCAGCGCTCCCAGCCTCCATTCCCTAAAGATAGGCCTTGGGTGGGTGCTGGGGAGCTCCAAGCTCTGTGACATGGAACACTTATCCTGAACTCTGAGATGCCCCAGGCCTCTGGGGCTTCATCCTAAAGATCAGGCTATCCTTAGAGCTGCCAGTGGGGGTGGGGGTGGGTTGGGAATGACACTGCCAGGGTCAAGAGCACAGGTTTGGAGTCTGGCTGTCTGGGTTAACGTCCCTGCTCAGCCACATTCTGTCCGTGCAGTCTTGGAAAAGACATTTAACTTCTGAGCCTCAGTTTTCTCATCTGAAAAATGGGAGTGAAAATTGTGCCTACCGCATGCAGCTCTTATGAGGACTGAACAAGCTGATGTGTATAAGGTTCTCAGCACAAGGCCTGGCATGCAGTTAGTATTCACAAGGGTTAGCTTCGATCTGCTGACACTAGGTATTCACTTAAGGATGCCACACCCATGCCTAAGGCCACTTCCCGCCCAGGAGGTGGGATGCTGGAAGCCACAAAGACACGAGGACCTGGGAGCAGAGGCCATGGCTGGTGAGATGTTAGGCATCAGACAGGGAGAGCAGCCCTGGCTGAGTCCTAGACCAGGCTGAGCGGTGGTTAGGCCAATGCATGGCTGTCATGGCTGTCACTGCCTTAGGCCACCGCCTTTCTAGCCCTTTGGAGACCATAATCCCCAAGCTGGGCCCTCAGGGGCTGGTGCCTGCATTCCCATTGCTGGGAAACACTGTCCCTATGGAACACGCTCATCTCCCTTTCTCCACCTTTATGTTTCAGCTGGAAACATTCAGCGTTTTCACACTCAGCCTCCTCGTGAGGACTCGGAGGCAGCAGCTGGCACCCAGCCCTGTTTCCACGTCTTTTAGCGCATCTCTGTCTACAGAAGGCACCTCCAGGAACGCTGGCTCCACTCAGAGGTAGCTGCAGGCGCAGCGACAAATCCGAGGGTGAGCTGCCAGCCTTGAGGGATGGAGTGGGTGTCCTCCCAATGTCAAGGCTCAGGCCTCAGCCCGTCACCCAGAAGGTGATCGGCAAAGAACTTTGCTTTTGCAACTTTCGGATTTTTCCTTGGCTGTGGCAGCTCTCTGGAAAGGAAAGCCATGTTGTGAGGTCTGAAAAACTGGAATAAAACTTCTCTTCTTCTCTGTCCCTGCCTGAGGCAGACTGGGGCCCTGGGCAAGGAGAGTGCTGGCCCCCTCCTGGGGGCTGGGGCAGAAAGCACCTGGCCGTGGTTTAGAGGACAGGCCAGCGAAGAGAAGCGAGCAGTGGCCAGGCAGTGGCCACCAAGCGGGTACAAATGGGCCAACTCACCACACGTCCAGGCATCCCAATGGCACCTTTTTCCCCCTGATGATGAAGGAGGCAGAAACAATCAGATGTAGCTGGAACCAGGCCAGACATGAAGGATCCCATGGGCTAGGTGTGCACCTGCCTCGGGGCACTGCTAGGCCGTTTGCAGGGGCAGCTGGGACCACAACCCGCGTGAGGCCCGAGCATCGTATGGATGGACTCCCTAAGCTGCCCGAGGACTGTTGAGCAAGTGGCCACCCCTACGGCTATCTGCACTCAGGCATGGTGTTGTGGAAAGAGCACTGAAGTGAGAGTCTGGTCCCCAGCCTGAGCCTCAGTTTCCCTGTGTGACTCCACATCCCTTGTTCCCTTAGACTTCTGCTGTTGCAATCCATCCCGTTGGTGGTCAGGATGTGCCTCATCTTCGTCACGCTCCATGGCAAGGCACAGAGCAATGTCACTGGCAGCTCCCATGTGACAGATGGGCGGATCACTTCCCTAGGTCTGTCTCTGCCAGAGCTGGAGGGCAGCGCTGCTCCCCCGGCCCCGTGTTCGAGAAGGCTGCAGACGGAGTCTTTCTCCGTTCTTCCGCCCTCACGGCCACCTCCAGCACTGACGGGAAGGACCATGAACCGCGTGGACTTATTTGAATCACGAGTTTAAGATGCTCGGAGGAGCTGCTTTGTTTTGTAGCCAGCAGTTACATCTTCTCACTCTGGAAATCTGCTTATTAAGTTTTGTTCCTCCCCGTTTTGGTAGAAATATTTTTTTGCAATCCTACGCATGCAGACATCATAAAGTCTGGGGTGGGGCTGGGGTTTGCTAGGAGCCTGGAAGGATGGAAAGCAATGGGGTGCAGACAATAAGATGGTGTTTGTCCGGCCTGCTGGGCAGGAGACAGCTGGGTGGGCATGTCTGGGTGACCCAACATCTGCCGACTTCACTAAGGCAAAATACCTCGAGGGACGATTAGCATCCCAAGATGTATTAATACGTGGGATGCACCCAAGAATAGCATTCATCTCTGAAATTAGACTCTGGCTACACACACATGGTCAGGACCAGGGGTGCCTGTGAGTAAAACGTTCTGCCTTTGCTAAGGAATGACAGGGTAGCAGCGATGGTTATAAGCGCCAACCGTGTTTCTTTAATCTCTCTGAACATTGGCCTCTGTTGACTGGGGGGAATGAGAACTCCTGTCTCAAGGGGATTCTGGGAGGATCCCATGAGATGCCGTCTCTGGAAAGCTTGCGTCCAGTGCCTGGCCCTCGGTAAGCATTGAGTCAATGGCATCTACCAGTGTGAAGCCCAGCACGGCCACGGGCAAGTGAATTCGATAAGCACGTCTGTACTCCACACGTTCTGCTTTGCACAGCGAGGGGCCAGCACCCGCAAATCCTTTTCTGTCTCACTCCCAGGTCCCTTTGCACAGAAGCATCCGCAGGACCACGACTGGCGGGTCTGAGATCTGCTCTGCCTGCGAAGAGCCCCAGGCTGGTACCGATCGTTGGCTGTGACATCCTCACGGTCCGCTCACTCTTGGGCTTTTGAATGGTATTTCAGGATGTGTGTTTTGGTTTCTTTTTTAAAACTAATGTTCTTTGCAGTCCTGGCCATAAAATGCTCGGGTTGGGGATGGGCGTGGAATGGCCGGAGACTGGAAAGTATGTGCGCGGCCCCTGCTCTAAATGCTTTTTAAAGGTGGACGGTGTAAGAAAAAACAGAGTCTGCCCACGCTCCCCTCCGTCATCTGATTTTTCCCCTCCTTGGATTTCACGGGGCGGAGTCGCCCGTCCTCCTTTGCGCTGGGGCTCTCACGTACTGCGAGAGTTTCTGTTTTCCAGGCTGAACGTTCTCCCACATGCATTTCATTAAGAAAGTCACCACTGGGCATGAATTTTAGAAGCTGTTGGACTAGTCAAAAGCTTACAGTATAATTCATGTGTAAAAGGGGAGTAACTAGGTATGAGAGGTGCACAGAAGGGTCTGGAAACCCAGGACGTGGCCTTTGGTGCAGGGAGACAGGGCAGCTGCTGCCAGCCCCAGGTCACGCCCGTGCGCCACCTCGGCCCTCTGACTGGCTGGCGAAGCACTTTGCCTGTGCCACCCCACTTCCAAGGGCCTGCGGTACCCATATCCAGTACTCAACTCATCCATGCCCCAGGTTAGACTCCAGGGAGCAATGTCTCCGAAGACTTTAAAGATGGTTCTCAAATCTGGGCACAGACCTCCAGAAACAGCAATATGGAATGTATGTGATGGCATGGGCCTCCAACAGGTCTACAGTTGGGCAAGGTATTTTACTTCTCTAAGTCCCAGTTTCCTCATCTATAAAACATGTAGAATAATACCCATTTCATGCAGTGGCTAAACAAATCAAATGTATCATGGATGATTAACATAGTGCCAGGCACCTATGCAGGGTTCAATAAGAGATGGCTATTAGTATTATTTCTACTTTTGTCCTAAAGTGCTCATGGTTACTTGGCACAGACTTTCTAGAATTCAGAAATGGTAATCGGGGGAAAACAACGTTTTTGAGTCCATTCCTTTACCAGAGGGCACAGGAGAAAGTGGGACGGTGGTTTGGATGTTGGCTGGTATGCAGGATGTTCACCGTGCCAGTGGGCTGCCAGCCCTGCCGGTCCCCCACCATAAGGCCACCAGGCTGGAGGTCAGTCCCAGCACTGGAAGGGTCTGCATGCCGTGACCCACCTGCTGGGGGCCCCAGGAGGGAAACCGAGAGCTGCAGCTGCAGGCTCAAGATGTTCCAGCAGGGCCCTCTCCAGGTCTCAAAGGAGGAGGAGCTAAGAGTGGGCTTTACCCTGAGCCAGAGATCAGAGACTCTGGAGAGGGGTCTCTCACCCTGCTATACCTAAGGGAAAACTCCCCACCCAACCTAGCCAGCCCTCAGACTGAGAAAGAACACGTGAAAGAGATACGAAGGAAAGAAGAAATGAAAATTACTTACTGGGAGTCCGGGTCTTCCAGTGGGACCCTGAAATAAAGGGGCGAGAGAGTGAAGTTTACATGGGTCAGGGCATCGTATCGTAATCCCCAACTGCTCAGCACTGCCCCAGCCAGCTGTGTGACCTTGGGTAAGCCACTCCTGCTCAGGAGCCTGTTATTTATGAACAAAATGAAGGAAGAGACTTGGTCACTACGCTTCGGTTCCAGCATTCATTCATTCATTCGCTCATTCATTAAACCAGTTAGCAAGGGCAGGGGATCCTCCATGCCAGGCACTGGCGTAGGTACAGGGAACAGAAAGAATGTCTTCTCTTAAGACTGAAGGATCACAGGGCTGTGGGTCTCCCCAGCAAGTCCCATCTCTCTGAGCCTTTCTGCCTCACTCAGTGCAATATTCTGTCCCCCACTTGGGCATGTGGCCCTGGCCTAGAAAAGGGCTGGAGGGGCTCAGGGCCTGGCCTTCCCTGTCCCACCACACACAGGAGAAGCCAGATGCAGGGCAGAGCCCATCACCCACTGGGACGCTCCCGCTAGATCTGCCACATCTGAGCCAATGGCACATGACCATGGAGCAGGGCGTGGGGCATCCCGGGGGACCTCTCCCTCTCTGCTGGGATCATGAGGGAGGCAGTGGGACTTCCTTTGACGCCTCCGCGAGCATGAGACCACCCTCTCCAGTGCTGCGCGTGAGGCAGGAGGCTGGATCCCGTCATACGTGGAGCCTTCTGTGGCTCACGGAACCCGCTTTCACCAACCACAGCTGTGTGTTTCTCAAACTCTCTATTCCTAACGCTAGTGCTCCCGCCGAGCACGATTCTGAGCATACACTCAAGATTCTGTATAATGGATCTGAAATTCCATTGATAAGAGGAAAACATTCAGCCGGGCGTGGTGGCTCAAGCCTGTAGTCCTAGCTCTCTGGGAGGCCGAGGCGGGCGGATTGTTTGAGCTCAGGAGTTCGA